GTTTTTATCGTTAGCTTTTTAGCAATCGTATTGTCTGCCATTCGACTTATGTGTCTAGCCCATCTTAGTCGCTGTGTTTTAACATTTTAACATTACGTTATAGATAAAGAGTTTATTAGTAATAATGGTACAAAGGAGAAATATTCCTTAAATGAAATAAAAAAGCATTCATCATTAAGGTATCTCTTAACTTTTGCTTTGCTTTGAATTTATAAAAGTTTTTATTCTAGCATAAGATTACTGTTGTTTCTATTTTTTGTTAATAGTTGGATAATTGTGGTTTTATTTAATATGCAACAGACATAGGTACTGCGGTTAAAATTTTACAAGTTCTAAAGAAGTTTCTATCGTCTGCTCTACAATCGAGCCTAGAGGTAATACGAACACAATTTCTTTGTTGTCCAAACACTCTATCAATATGAAAAGAGTGAAAAGTGACCCCAGGAGATAAGAGGAAAAGTTAGAAGGAAATGAAAGTTACTATGATAAGCTGCGAATATAGTTTCCCTGGAAACCACTAGTACAAGATTCCTAAAAATTAAAAGTTGTAGGGAAAGTTCGATAAATTAACTATATGTTGTTCCCAGGTTTGATTTAAATCCAAATGTACTCCCAGAAACTTCGCCTCGGTTGCATATTCTGGTAGACCAATGTATCAAATATCAGTGGTATTTCTTAAACTGAAATTAAAACTTTGTGATTTAAAGGGGTTTAAAGAGGGAAGATTAGTTAAAAACCATTTTAATTAGTTTTGGTAAACAAGAGCGTCAAATTCAGAAGGGAAAAAGCTTACATAAAAAGTAGTGTCATCAGCGAATAAAACAGTTTAAACTATTTTGAGATTACTATAAATGAGAAATAATAACGGTCCCAAAAGCGAGCTTTAAGGGACAGCGTATATCAGAGATTGTTTAGAATCACACTGGTTTAAATGAGCATACTGATTACGATTTGACAGATACAAATCAATTAGTTAAATAGCATTAAGTGTTTTGATCATATCAGGCATCAAATGCTTTATCCTTGGAATGAACAAGAATATATAAGTAAAGGTGAAGTGAAAATATGTCGTGACCAATGTAAATTATTCTTACTTACACTTTCAACAGCTCCAGTTATACACAATAACAAACCAAATTTGCCGATATCACTCTTTTAACAAACTCAAATTTAAAATATATTAAAGATAAATTGCATCTCGAATTATTTCAAACAATCTCTATGTATCTTATAGAAAAAACCGACTAGACTGTCAACTCATCTTACAGTAGAACGCAGCAGGCCTTGGCAACTGGTTAAGTTAACGCCTTTTAAGGCAAACACAAAGTCAAACATAAAACTCGTGCCATAATCGATTGAGGTTCAATGTAACTGAACATTTTCACCGGATTATAGAATCTGACGGCAATTTTATGATCCAATCAATCGTTGTCGATCGGAAATCAAACGCTTTTTCCGCGTTTTTTTTTTATTATAGAAACTTTCGGTATGCGTTTAATGGTGAATTATGTATATTTGGATGTTGTGTTTTCTACTTGCAATGGTTTTTTTAGCACTTTCTACATTGTTTTTGTCTGTTGTCTTGTATAATTGGAGAAAAGTATGATATGAATTTAATTTATTAGATAATATATAGACAAAAATTTTATTATCAGTAAATGACAGTTCGTATTAACGGAATTGATAGAAAAATCATACAACGTAGCATTACCTATCAATATGAGCAAAACATGCATACATATATTCCTACGTATAACCTTGAGGTTAAAAGCGATATTGGATTTTGGCCTTTTCCAAAATTTTTTCCTCCGATCTCCTGTTGTGTTCGCCACATCTCTCCACTGCTTGACCTGCATCGCATTCAATTATTTTCCTTGTCCTGTAGTCATTACTATACCTCTCCTTCTTGGTTCTTCAATTTTTTTCGTACAAAATTTTCGTTTGCCTATGTCTCTCTCTAAGGGCATTCTTTTCACGTGTGCTCTAAAAGTCACTCCAGTCTTCTCGACTCTTTTACCCCCCTTTTTTAATTTTTTTAAGTTAAAATTCATCTCTAATTTTTCATGAAATAATTTTTCTCTTACATGGACCTCTTCACAATGCACAAAAAATGGTGAGATTCCAGATAAGCTATATCAGAATGACAAGGAGACACCATGACGCTGTTAAATACACGAAAACCTAATCTGGAGCTGATTATACCGGACCAAATATATTAAAACATGAAATAGAAAATGTAATAAAAATTTCAAATATTAAAAAGCAAGTCGACCAGCCAAAAATTGTTACAGAACTTGTCGAAACGTCATCAAGTAAATGTTTTTTTTTTTTAAATTAAAGTTATCCAATGCAGAGCTAAACCCAAAAACAAGAAATAGTCAAAACTTTACAACTTTTTGCCGAAAATGCTCCACTCTTAAACAAAAATTCTTTGTGTTTTATCAAACTTAAACGACATTATATCTTACTTTTCATTTTTTTCAAGCTGAAGGCTACTAAATTAATAAGAGTATTCCATAATATATCAACTCCGCACTGTATATTAAAGAGAGAAGTCCAAAATTTGTGTTTCATAACGCTTCCTTTACGCTGAGTTAAAATTCAAACAAAACAAGCTAGTATACTGCATTAAAAACATTTTCTGCTTTATTCTTAAAAGTTATTTTTAAGAAACTTTGATTTGATGCCCAGATTTTTTATTTCTGTAATCTTGCATATGCGTCGAATCGCTTAGATTCTTAACAATGTTACAATCGTACGAAAATATAAGATGACGTGACAATTCAACTGGACTTACTGTACTGGATGTACGTGTACGATGTAGAATGTAGTGTTTGTTCGGTAGGTAGAAAGTTTTTCGTCATATTCGGGATGATAGGATGTAAACTATTCTTGAGTCAGTTTTAAGGTTTTCAGATATTTTTGTCGTGATCTTTTAATTAAATATACGTGATCTTTGCCCTAATACATACCAAAGCATTGTTTTTAAGCTAGTTTAAACAATTTTAATGACTCCTATTTTTGAAAATAAATCTGATCAAACAATTGGTTGCTCTGCTGTAAAAGATCTAGACTTTTTCAAAATTAACCTTATTTAGGAGAAGAACACCGGTGAAGAAGAAAAAGAAGGAGACTCACTGCGAAGTTCACCACCCAATTTGTTTGATGAGCCACGTACTCAAAACGTCTCTAAAGGTAATTGACAGGCGGATTTATAATCGACGAAGACACTTAGTTTGGTTTAAAAATGGTTTGACAAGAAGGACTTTTCTGTTCCGCGTTCAGTGAGGAAATGCTATAAGTAGAGAAACGATGCCTTTATTTCCTTTATCGTTAACCAAAAAGTTTTGACAATTTTAGACTTGACCTATTATAGACATAAATAAGTTTACCAACGATCGATCTACAGAAAAAGTTAAAGTAAGCAAAGACGTCAGACAGTGCTGCATTATTTTCTCCTTCATTTCTATTTAACATACACGTAGAAAATATTTTGCATAGCTAAATAAAAAATTTATCAAAATAAACGGAATTCTTATCAATATTATATGAAGTAGCTACAAGAGATGGTGCCAACCAATAATACTGTTGGAGAGACCAGTCTTAACATTTATATTGCAAAAACATACTTTATGATAATCAGTAGACAGACCCTACTAGTTCCCTACAGACCAAGTACAGTTAAGACAAATAACTAACACATATAGTGAGTCAAGAAATTTAAATATAGATGATGATTATATTTAATATAACCCGTTTTTCGTTCCCATAGTGCTTTTCTATATCTTGATGATTTCTAGCGCCTTGCAAAATCGCTCGATTAATATTAGAAGGTTTAGTCAACAAATTATAGATCGTAGATTTGACATATATTAATTACCATAATATATGCAAAGAAAAATAGAGCCATGATCAAAACTATCAATCAAGAGAGCCTTTAAGGAAATGAAATACATAACAAGATACTTCAAAGCCAGCATTTAAGCTGTCGGCGACCACAAGGGAAACCTAATAAGAAACAAAGAAGAGATATGATCATATCACCAAGATCTATATAAACATGATCAACACCTGGTATATATCCACCAGAAACATGGTGAAATCGAAAAAGAACTTTTACTCTTATTCTAAAATTGCTTCACTTCCTGAGCTATCCAATATGGCATTTCACACTGTAATTGTTAACCTAATGACTGGAGACAATCTATAATTACGAGAATACACAAAAAGACAACTTTCATAAATGCGATTGAGAACTATTTGAGACTGATTTCTTTCCTACAATGGCATCTTCCGAAAGAGTGGGCTAAATTTGCCAAAGGTAGAAGAACATCTTTTGAGTATGATAAAATAAACGAGAAATCAAAGGAATTTAATAACTCGTTATAAATCAGCTTTATAGGCGGTCGACTAAGTTGAATGGCATCATTTATGGAGAATACTAAAAGAGGTAGGCGTACCGCTACTTCTAATTTAACCACTACAGTCATTCCGGGGAGTCAGCACAAAAAAAGAGATTCTAAATATTATACATAACCAAATGTATAGGTACAATATGGCAGCTGATAATAGAAAAAGTTATAAAATACAATTAGGCCTTGGCACAATGCAAATGTCCCAATTGAAGAACTTATGGACTTAACGCAACAATTATAGATATTTCTGTTAAAAGTTTCAATGAGTAAAATGTTTATAAACAAATTTTGTTTTAAACAATGTCAAACACCTGTGAAGTAAACAAAAACACAACACATGGAGTGTATTTAAATTTAGAACGTCCCAAGTACAGTAATAATAAATGTAGTGAAATATAAATTGAAAAAATCAAAAAATTAAAATATGGCGCCCAATATCACGGCCAAAAACTGCGTCACAACATACTAATTATACATATTTGAATATAATAACACCCCAGAATAAATTTACAAATAAATCGCTCCATTTTCAACAAACAAACAAAGTAAAAATGAATACTTTTTAATTATTCCATAAATACTTACTCAACAAATAATTATGCCACTGTAAAAAGTTTTATTCTTAAAACTAAACCTAAAATTACAAAACTGACAAATGATTCACGGGGAAGTTCGGGCGCTGGGCGAAGCTGCCCGAGGCTATTTGAAACTTTAGCGTGGCTAAAAATGGAGAGAACGAGCGTCGCGGTGCCAATTTTTGTTATGGAAAACACGCAATCTCTGAGTACGTCATATACAATTTTTTTGATTAATAATCGAAAGGCGATAAAATGTTTCATTGCAATATAAATCTGTTTTAAATGGCTCTTAGCGGCTTTCGTTATTGTTAATAAAAATAGAACAACCACCTGTGGTGTTATACGAGTGTCTGACGAAAGTTCACAATCTAGTATTTAAAGAAACATATTTCTAAGGTAGCCTTTCTTAATATTCGGAACAAGTGGATGCAGCTTCATTTTTTATTATTTTGGGAAAATAAAAAAACTGTTAATTTTATTATTATTAGTTTTTATTTTTTTAGTCAATATTTAAGATTATTTTGAACTCAATATTTTTTGAATTAATAGTGATTTAATAGTGATTAATAGTCATTTTGAATTAAAGTAACAAAAAATAAATAAACTGGAGCTACATCTCTCTTGCAGCAAACACCTGAAAAAAAAATGGGTATTTATCACAGATTTTAACAAAGAAATAAAATTCTCAGTGAAAATCCTTTTAATAGATAATAAAAATCAAAACATACAAATAGAGTGCCAAAAAGAAACATGGACAATGGAAGAAAGATGCAATACTTGCAGTGAAGTATTAAAGACAACAGCAACTGAAGTGTGTGGAATCAAAAAATATAATAAACAGTTGAAAAGGACAAGAAGGTGGAATAAAGAAGTGAAGACAGAAATAAAAAAGAAGAAAATAGCATTGAAAAATACATCGAAACGGGATTAGAAGAAGATAAAGAAAAATACTATAGGCAGAGGCGATTGGTAAAAAGGACAGTCACACAAGCAAAAGCAAAAAGATGGAAAGAATTTGGAGAAGAACTTCAGGAAGAATATATAACAAATAATAGAAACTTTAGGACAACAATACGACACATAAGGCAAGGACAACGAAAGGAAATAAACGCAGTAAGAGATACTTCAAACCAAATACACACAAGCCAAAAACAAATAGCAAGGGAATGGAATGAATATTATGAGAAAAATTTGATACCGAAGTGATAAAGGAAGACAATATAATCAATGAAGGTGAAGAAAACACAGGACTAGAGCAAATAAGTAGAGAGGAAGTAATAGAAGGATTCTTCTTCTTCTTCCTTTGCCCTATCCGTTTCGAACGTTGGCTATTAACAAGGCTATTTTGACTTTGTTTACGGCACCTCTGAACAGTTCGGTCGGTGTTAGTCCGAATCATTGTCGCAGGTTATGCATCCATGAGTGTCGTCTTCTTCCCGATCCCCTCCTACTGTCGATTCTTCCTTGGACTATTAACTGTAGCAGCCAGTACTTAGTATGCCTCATGACATGTCCGAAGTACTCAAGCTTCTGTTTCTTTACGGTGAAGATTATTTCTTTGCTTTTGCCTATTCTCTGCATTACTTCCACGTTCGTGATGTGGTCTGTCCAGGATATCCGAAGAATACGGCGATATTACCACAGCTCAAAGGATTCTGGTTTCTTCAGGTTGGCTTCCGTTGTGGTCCATGCCTCTGCTCCATAGAACAAGACCGGGAAGACATAACACTTGACCAGTCTTAATTTTAGTTCCATTGAGATTTTGCTTGTAAACCACTTTTTCATATTGTTGAACGCGTTTCGCGCTTTTTTAATTCGTGATCTTATTTCTGTTGACTGGTCCCATTTTGTGTTGACTGTGGTTCCAAGGTATGTATATGTCTCCACTTGTTCTATTTTTCGGTTGTTTAATGTCAATTGCATCGGAGGTTGTTGTGTTCTGCTGATGAGCATGCATTTAGTTTTGGTTATATTGAGTTCTAAAGCATATTCTTGACTTGCTGTGTGTATGCTTTGCATGAATCTTTCAAGCTCGTTGCAGTCATTTGCCATAATAACTGTGTCGTCAGCATATCTAATATTATTGACTACCTCTCCGTTTACTTTGATACCCTCCGAAACTTCTCCCAGTGCTTCTCTGAAGATTTGTTCAGAGTATATATTGAACAGGAGCGGCGAGAGAACGCATCCCTGTCGTACACCCTTTTTAATATCTATCTTCCCACTGTGTAAGTTGCCCATCTTTATCTCAGCACTTTGGTTCCAATAGAGACTGGTTATTATGCGCAGATCCTTGACCTTGTCAAACGCCTTGGAGAAGTCGATGAAGCACAAGTGGACGTCCTTGTGCATGTCTCTGCATCTTTGAATTAAAACTTGCAGACTGAAGATCGCCTCTCTTGTGCCCAATGCGCTTCGGAATCCGAACTGTGACTCCGATATATTTGCTTCGCATTTGTTATATATTCTATTGTGTATGATTTTGGTGAAAACTTTGGTAATGTGATTTATCAAGCTTATTAAGCAGTGTTGATCACAGTGTTTTGCACTTGGTGTTTTTGGTATGGCTACAAAGGTCGATCGAAGCCATTCCTCCGGAAACTGCCTTTGTTGTAAAAGGTATTAAAAAGGCCTGTCAGAAAATCTAGGAAGTGCTCATCCGTTTCGCATAGGAGTTTTATGATCTCGCTCTGTATGTTGTCGGTACCTGGTGTTTTGTCGTTTTTTAGCGATGAAATGGCTTTTTCCACTTCAGACCTTAGTATTTCGGGTCCAGTCATGTCATAATCTTGGTCCACTGTCGCTCTGCGTTTATCGTTAAAAAGTCGTTCTACGTAATCGTTCCATATGTCAATGAGCTTCAAGTCGTCTGATATGTCTATTAGTGTAGGGTGGGGATTATTGGTTTTCTTTTTAGTTGTTATTTCTTTGATCTTTTTGTGCATGTTGTGGTGGTCATATCTTCTGTCGCACTCTTCGATTTTAATGGAAGGATTATCAAATATAAAAATAGGCAAGGCAGGTGGAGATGATGAAATTGAACCGGAAATGGTAAAATATATGGGAGAAGAAGGAATAAACTGGCCATGGAAAATATATAAAGAGGCGTGGGAAAAACAAACAATCCCTAAAGACTGGCAGAACAATATCATCGTGCCAATATACAAAAAAGGAGAACATGTAAACTGCGACAATTATAGAGCAATATTTCGGTCATCGGTATGCTTTAAAATATATACGAAAATAATAGAGAAGAGACTGGGATAAGAAGTAGAAATGGTATTGGGAGAAGAACAAACGGCATTTAGACCGGGAAGACAGACAAATGACAACATATATATCATTAGAAACCTAATAGAAAAAGCATAGATACGGGGAAAAACTAGTATTAGCAATCATAGACCTAAGAACAGCATTTGACACGATAGAAAGACATATTATAGGGAAATGCTTGAGGAAAATAAATGTACCTAATGCATTGATAAAAATTATAGGAAGTACTTACAAAGAGGTAAAAGCAAGGGTACAAATAACAGGGGAAAGATCGGAAGCATTTAATTGGAAGAGAGGTATTAAACAAGGAGATAGTCTCAGCCCTTTGCTATTTATAATAGTAATGAACGAATTGATAAGAAACACTAGAATCAGAACCAATCAACTACAGATAATAATAGGTTACCATAGATTACAACCGGTAACAATAGAGTCCTTAATGTATACAGACGACATAGTACTCATAGCAGATTCCGAGAATAAAATGCAGAAACTATGTTTGTTTGTTTGTATAACTTTGTTCTACCTATATATAACATATATGGGTAGAACAAATAGAATAACTAAAAATGGAGATAAACGAGGAAACAAGTAAGACAATGATAATCAGCGGTAAAGGAGATAAGGAAGATAATCAAATAAAGATAAAATGTAAAAACTCAGAATTGGAAATAGTCACAACTTACGAATACCTGGGAAGTATAATATTATATTAATAACTAATGACGGAAAAATAGACTGGAAAATAACAAATAGAGCAAAGAAATCAAACAAGTTATACTATGTGTTAGCTCCAATAATGAGAAAAAAGAGAACTAGCACTAGAAACAAAAATAAAAATATGTAACACAATAGTGATACCAAGTGTGGTTTCTGCAAATGAAAACTGGACAATTCTGAAAAAACATAAGAGCAGGATAAACGCAATGGAGATAAGAAATCTAAGAAGGATAGTTGGAAAGACAAAATGGGGTAAATTAAGCAACGAGACTATTAGGAGAATGACCAACCAGGAACCGATAATGAACAAAGTAGCAAAGAGACAAATAAACTGATATGGGCATCTGATGAGGATGCAATCCAATAGAATAACAAGAAAAGTTTATGAAGCAAAAAACAACGGAAAAAGAAAAAGAGGCAGACCAAGAAAAAATGGATACAGCAAGTAGTAGAGGCGGGCAAACTTAAACAAAAATCACTCGAGGAATTGAAAATAATGGCAGGAGACAGAAAATAATGGAAGAGGGGGGTAAATGGAAATTAAAATAGCTAGCCTAAATCCGTCACCCTGATAGGGTAAAAGGAAGGGGAGAAAGAAAGAAAGAAGAAAATAAAAACATTTTGATTTATGATGTCAAATGAAGCACAAAAACAATACAAATAACGAGGGGTTCGAGCGAAAACCCGATAAATGACAAAATTATGAAATACGGTATTTTTATTTCTTCTGTATTAAAAACACGTCTTCTATCACTGAAAAAATTTTTAAAATGATATTAACATTTTTAAGCACAATAATTAATAAAAACCAAACATGGTAAAAACCGTTAAGTCATATTTTTAAATAACACCAACCCCATATATAACTTTACTGATAAAAATACTTTGAATCAAACATATTTATAATATGAGAATCCGATAGAATCATTTATCTTCTTTTCCTATGTAAAGTTACTGATTTTATTAGAAATATTTCTGAGTTAAAAACAGATAATTCATTTTATCGGAAATTGAAATTCATAATAAATGTCTGAAATATAAAATCAGTTCTAGGAAAAATAAGCTAGAACAAC